CAAAAAAAAAAAAAAAAAAAAAAAGCAAGAATCTTTCTGTAAACTTTTCTTACAGTACTTACCAGTTACTGATTTTATGGACCTGAATGGTAACTTGAAAGAAAAGGAAAACTGGGGCTGGAGAGATGGCTCAGTGGATAAGAGCACTGACTGCTCTTGCAGAGGACCCAGGTTCGATTCCCAACACCCACATGATGGTTAACAACCATCTGTAGCTCCAATTCCAGGGGATCTGACACCTTCTTCTGACCTTCACAGGCATTGCATGACACGGGTACACTTACACACATGCAGGCAATATACTCATACACATAACATAAAAATAATAAAACATTTTTTAAAAAAGAAAAAAAGGAAAATATGTTTTTTTCAGTTTTTCTAAGTCAGAATGGTACTTGGAAGGCAAATGATTAAAAGTTACTTATTTCCCTTCATCTATAAAGAACTAAAATATGTAAACACATTCAGATTATTAATATCTGTAAGGTCAAGATTAGAAGTGTGTGTGTGTGTGTGTGTGTTTTGTTTTGTTTACCGAGACAGCGTTTCCCTGTATCCCTTGCTGGCCTGGAACTCACTATGTAGACTGTGCTGGCCTCATTCTTACAGAGATCCACCTATCTCTGCCTCTGTGTGCTGGGATTGAGCCCAAGATTAAAATTTTTATAGAGCTGTTTTATTACCAAGCCTCTCCTTATTTGTTCTTAGAGAGCAGTATTCCTTGATCCCTGTAGTGCTGGTGGCATTTCTGGGTCTCCTTTCTCACTGCAAAGTCCTTAAATATTGAATTCTGCCTGTTAGTGAATAGCCAGTGCTCAATTTGGTTTTTGTTTGTTTTGAGACAGAGTCTTACTCTGTAGCCCAGGCTAGCCTCAAACTCAGGATGATCCTCCTGCCTTAGTTTCTCATGTGCTACTATTACAGGCATGAGCTACTATACCTGACTCACTTCTTATGAAAAATATGCACGCAGAATCATAAGTGTGTACTTATAGCTACTACTCCTTGTCTGGTCATTTGTGGTATAGAATCCTGGTTACGTGACTGCTTAGGATCAATCCTGGTTTACCATTACTAGCGGTATCATCTTAGGCACATGCTGAACCTGCAGTAAACCACCTATGAATGCATCTGAATGCTAACTTACCAAGATACAGCTCTTTTTTATTCTTTTTAAAGCAAAATCTTAGTATCCTCCTGTCTGCATCCCAAAGCTAGGTAGGATTACAGGTACAGCATAGCCTTGTCTGGCTTTTACGTGGGTGCTGGGGATTTGAACTGAGGTCCTCATGCTTGCTCACTAAACCATCTATCTAGCCCTAGTTCTTTCTTTAAAGTCTTATTTTCAGGCTGGTAAGTTGGCTCAGAGGGTAAAGACTCACTGCCAAGCCTAATGACCTGAGTTGGATCCTCAAGACCTACATGGTGGAAGGAGAGAACTAACTCCTGGAAGTTGTCCTTTGAGTTCCACAAACCACGCGCACACACACACACACACACACACACACACACACACACACACACAAATATAATGTAATAAAAACATTTTAATTAATCCCAGCACTCGGGAGGTGGAGGCAGGCAGATCTCTGTGAGTTCAAGACCAGCCTGGTCTACAAATGAGTTCCAGGACAGTTGGGGCTACAGGGAGACCCTGTCTCAAAAAGACCAAAAAAAAAAAAAAAAAACATTTTAAATCTTATTCTACTGGCGAGATGGCTCGGAAGGTAAAGGTGCTTTTTGCCATACCAGCCCAATGAGTTCAATCCCTGGAACCCATGTAAAAATGGAATGAGAAAACCAATTCCACAAGGTTGTCCTCTGACCTTCATGCATGCACTATGGCACATGCATCCACACATATCATGCAAGTGTAACCCCCCACTCATACATACAGTAATAAATAGATCATTTTCTAAAAAATTTTATTTGAGGGCTGGTGAGACAACTCAGTAGTTAAGGTGCTTGCTATGCAAGTGTGAGGACTAGAGTTGGGTCTCCAGATGCCACATAATGTCAGGTGGTCATGGTGGCCTGCCTGTAATTCTAGTCTCTGAAAGTGGAGACAGGATTCCCCAGAGCAAGCTGGCTCCAAGATCAGCCATATTAGGAACTCTGGATTTGACTGAGAGAACTTACCTCAATGAATAAGGTGGAAGAGCCATAGAGGATAATTCCTGACATCAACCTTGGGCCTGCACATGCATGTTGCACACGTACCCATACATACATGTGTACCTCCGACACATGCAACCATGCATACACATACACATGAAAAATGGGAAAAAAGCCAAAAAAATCTTATTTGTAAAATGTTTTAAGATAAAAATGACTGTGTTTAGTCAATCCTTTTCATTACCCATTTTATAGATTGTGGATATCAGTTATGTGTTCAGAAACACAGAGATGAGATTTCTTCAGGAAGTACTGGCTGAGCCCCAAGGAACTGTCAAAGCCATATGTGTCCAGGAAGGAGCAGTAAGTGAAGCACAATTCTATATTTTCTCTAGAATAAATGTTTTGGAGGTAAATAGTTCAACACTGGCACTTGAACATTTGAGAAACAGCAACTCAATTTTATATAAAAAATGTGTGGGGGTGTGGTTTTTAAAATATTTTATGATTTTTATTTTATGTGTATGCATGTATTGCCTACATGTAGGTAAGTGCACCTGTGTCATATAATGCCCTCAGAGGACAGAAGAGGCCATTGGATCCCCTGGAACTGGAATTACAGACAGGTTGTTAGCTGCCATGTGGGTGCTGGGATTCGAACCCGGGTTTTCTGCAAGAACAGCCAGTGTTCTTAACCACTGAGCCATCTCTCCAGTCCAAAAATGTGTTGGGTTTTTTTGTTGTTGTTGTTGTTTTGGTCTTTTTGAGACAGGGTCTCCCTGTAGCCCCAGCTGTCCTGGAACTCCCTACGTAGACCATGCTGGCCTTGAACTCACAGAAATCTGCCTGTGTTTTTATAGGAAGCCTAATAGTGTTGCTGAAATTATTATATAAGTCAGATAACATTAAACACTGTTGGGGGGATTGTTGTTGTTTAGTTTTATGAGGCAGGATCTGGCCTTGAACTTGTAATCCTTTTACCTCAGTGTTAGTGTTAGTTTAGAATGCTGAGTTACAAGTGTGTGCCACCCAATTCTAAGATTACTATTTTATTTTTTTTATTTATTTTTGGTCTTTTTTTTTTTTTAAGCTTTTACAATTTTATTAGAATTTTAAAGAAAAAGAAGTCCTCAGGCAGGCGAGCTGGTAATCTTGGCAGCTGCCTTGAGGAGGTGAATGATAGGAAGAAAGACATGAGGCCATGCAGGTTTAGAGCCTGGAGGGAGGTCAGACATGTGGCTGACTGGCAGCCACATGACTGGGAGAAGGAAGCTTTAGAGAAAGTAAAGAGATGAAAAATGCTAGGGGCAGTCCAAAGCCTTAATAAAAGCATATTCAGTAAGAAAGGCATGAAGAAGAAAAAGGGAAATTAATGCTTCTCACAGACTACATGGCTGTAGCTAGTAAGTTCTGCCCCCCATAGGTGGGATTACAAGCAGGAATAGTTGCTATCTCATTAACACACCAGGTATTCCACCCATCTATTTAGCATAACCTGCCTATGACCAGATGATTGACAGGTTAAACTTACATAAAATGGAGGCTCAGGGTATTACATTCCCCACTGGCTCTGGGATATAAGTCAAATCTTTCACTTGTTTTGATTTTGAGGCTCATATTGGGTCCTCAGAACCCTAATTTTGATGGCATTTGAGCACCTCTTGATCTATCTGGTTATGCAATTTAGGAGACCTGGACCCATGGTAAAGGCTAGGAGGAATATTACCGGAGGCCCAGGAAAACTCAATTACACCTGAATTATTGGCATAAAAATGGCAAACCTCACCTAAGGCCATGTATGAGCCATCTTCCTTTAGGAGCAGTAGGTCAATTCCCCTTCTGTTCTGTAGCACCATTTAGCTAGGGAGTTAACCTGTCTCTCCAATTGCCCGATGGAGTCCTGTAGACATCTGATGGGTCTCTCTGTAGCCCCAGCTGGCCTAGAACTTGCTATATAGACAAAGCTGGCCTGGAACTCACTACGTAGACCAGGCTGGCCTCAAACTCACAGAGATCTTCCTGCCTCTGCTTCCCGAGTGCTGGGATTAAAGGCATGCACCACCAAACCCAGCAAAGATTACTGTTTTAAAAGAGTATGTTCAGCTGGGCATGGTGGCGCACGCCTTTAATCCCAGCTCTTGGGAGGCAGAGGCAGGCGGATCTCTGTGAGTTCAAGTCAAGGCCAGCCTGGTCTACATAGTGAGTTCCAGGACAGCTGGGTCTACAGGGAGACCCTGTCTCAAAAAGACCAAAAAAAAAAATAATAATGTGTTCAATTAGATACATAAGCATATGAATATATTCATAATGATGATTAAAAACTCAATCTCATTACTTTTATTCACTTTGTGTGTTCAGTGGAAAGAAGTTGGGTATCTATACTCTGGTCCAGACATAGCAAGTATGTTCAAGTAAGCTCAGCACAACACATTGCTTTTTTATTATTTTAATTGTTGTTTATTGATAATGTGTTCAATTAGATACATAAGCATATGAATATATTCATAATGATGATTAAAAACTCAATCTCATTACTTTTATTCACTTTGTGTGTTCAGTGGAAAGAAGTTGGGTATCTATACTCTGGTCCAGACATAGCAAGTATGTTCAAGTAAGCTCAGCACAACACATTGCTTTTTTATTATTTTAATTGTTGTTTATTGTGTGTGCTTGTTGAGGGGGAGCACACTTGTGGAGGTCAGAGGACAACTCTGTGGAGTTGGTTCTCTTCTTCCACCTTTACATGGGTTCCGGGGATCAAACTAACTTTACCCACTGAACCATCTCACTGGTCTCTGTTATTATTATTTGCCTCACTTCAAGTGTGTCTGTTCTTCCCTGGGTAGACATAAGAACTATAGAGGTACCATCACATTTTCACTGCTTTTATCTCGTGGGTATAACTAATGATAATCACAATGTCTTAGAAAAACATTCAGATAATTCAGAAAGCATAAGATATATTTAAAGAAAGCTGAAATAACCAAATTCTGAGTCCTCTTGATCTGAAAGTTGTTTTTCTTTCACAATTCAGTTGTAGAGATTCACCTTCATATTTATCCTGCACATTACATGTACAGTCTTCTGTACACACCTGTAATCACAGGTCATGACTGTCTCCATTGAGACTTGTGTGACTGGGAAACAGTTCTCACAAGCTACAGCAGGCCTCAAACATTTGTCATTTCACAGAAGAAATTAAACTTTTATTAAATTCCACTACTGTGACGGAATGACACAAAATGTTTGCATCTCATTTGCCAGTGTGAACATGCTTATGAAACTGAATGTAATACTGACGAGTTCACTTTGATTTTCTTTCATCAGAAGTATTTAAAAAGGCAAGACATTGAGTTCCTTAGAAAATTTGCAGCCGAACATTTTAATCAGGTAAGGAGTTAACTAGAGCAGTGTTTTGCTTCTGTTTTCCTTTGGGGGATTCTGCATTATTAACTAACAACTGCTTGAGCTCTTTGTTTTGCGAGTCATGTTATTTCAGCTTATACATCTGCTTTTCACCTATTTTTACTCTTAAGGCTTCAATTTAGACAATTGAATATACTTTCAATCACACTGTGAAAGTTCAAACATACTCTTTTTACATAAACCGGTCTCTTAATCTGCCAGGCATGATGGTGCACGCCTGAGGCAAAGGCAGGTGGATCTCTGTGAGATTGAGGCCAGCCTGGTCTACATAGCAAGTGCCAGGCCAGCTGGGGCCACAGGGTGACCCTGTCTCAAAAAGACCAAAAAAAAAAAAAGTCTTTTAACTAAATTTAACTAAAGCCGGGTGTGGTAGTACATGCCTTTAATCCCAGCACTTGGGAGGCAGAGGCAGGGGGATCTCTGTGAGTTTGAGGCCAGCCTGGGCTACATAGTGAGTTCCAGGACAGCTGGGGCTACAAGGAGACCCTGTCTCAAAAAGACAAAAAAAAAAAAAAAAAAAAAAAAAAAAAAAAAGTTAACTAAATAGAGCCCTCAGTGCTCAAGATTTAACACTAGCATGACAAGTGTAAAAGAGCCTGTGCTGGTTCTTCTTCCTGTTTCCTTTTGGAGGAGCAGGAGTCGGGAAATTCTCACATTGTCACTGGAAGTGTAAACTGCCTTGGCTGATTTGCAACCAGAGTCATGGCAGCCAAGCATGGTAGTGCACTCCTGTAATCCCAGCACCTAGGTGGAAGAAGGAAGATCAGGAGTTCAAGGTCAGCCTGGAATACTTGAGGCCCTGTCTCACAAAACAAAAACAGAAAAATAAAGATAAAATAGTTATGTTGCATCCTTTTTTTTTTTTTTTTTTTAAGTCTTTTTGAGACAGGAGCCCCTGTAGTCCCAGCTAGCCTGGAACTCACTATGTAGTAGACCAGCCTGGCCTTGAACTCACAGAACTACACTTGCCTCTGCCTGGGATTAAAGGCATGTGCAACCACACCCCACTTCCCTTAGTTTACTTTTAAAATGGGATCTCATGTAGCCAAAGCTGTTCCTGAACTCCTGATCCTCCCATCTCCTCCTTGAATCTTAGGTTTACAGGTGTATGCCCTCATACCCAGGTGTGTACCCTCATACCCAGATCTAGAGTTCCTTTTTAAATGGACTACCTACCTCATACATCAAGCTTAAAGAGGGATAAATATTTTTCAACAAAAAAGAAAGATAAGGGCAGGATGCTCTAGGAGGAAGATCATAAATTCAAGTTGTGTCTGAGCTATAGAGTGACTAAGGCCATTGGGTAATATAGTGAGACCCTGTCTCAAAATTTTAAAAAGAAAGACTAGGGATGTACTGCAGTGTTAGAGTACTTGCCTATCAAGTGTAAGGCCTTAGGTTCAATCTCAATATAGAAAGAGGGAGAAGGAGAGGGAGGAAGAGAAGGAAGGAAGGAAGGAAGGAAGGAAGGAAGGAAGGAAGGAAGGAAGGAAGGAAGGAAGGAAGGAAGGAAGGAAAAAGATTGGCTGACTTCCAAAAATGATTCAAAGCAAAATTAGAAAAATTAAGCAATATGAAAAACTTCATAGTTAAAGAACTCTTCTTTATTAAAATTTTATTCATTATTTTTATTTTATGTGTATGAGTGTATTGCTTGCATGTGTGTAGCACACTCGTGTTCTGCACAGCCCACAGAGGTTAGAAGAGGGCATCAGAGTCTCCTGGAACTGGAGTTATGGACCATTGTTAGCCGCCATGTGGGTGCTGGGAATCGAACCTGGGTCCTCTGCAAGAGCAGTCAGTGTTCTTAAATCACTGAGCCAATTCTCCAGCCCCTAAGGAACTCTTCTTTATGTCTCTTTTTCTCTATAGAAATGTTCTTTCAAACTGGGCACAGTGGCACATACCTAAATCCCAGCATCCCAGCATTCAGGAAGCTAAAACAGAAGAACCATGAGTTCAGGCCAACCTGGACTACATAGCAAGACCCTGTCTCAAAAACAAATAAATAAATAAATAAAATTCTAAACTGACAGTTACTGTGCTTTTTGCTTTTTGCTTTTTTGCTTTTGTTTTTTGAGACAGGGTCTCCCTGTAGCCCCAGCCTGGAACTCACTATGTAGACCAGGCTGGCCTTGAGTTTACAGAGATCTGCCTACCTCTACCTTCTGGGTGCTGGGATTAAAGGCGTGTGCCACCAGGCCTTGTTTTGGTTTTTTTTTTAAATATGGATATGAGTATATTGCTTGAATGTATGTCAGTGCATAATGCCCACGAAGGTCAGAAGAGGGCATTGGATTCCCTGGAGCTGGAGTTACAGATGGTTGTTAGCCACCGGGTGGTTACTGGGAATTGAACCTGGGTTCTTTGCAAGAACAGCCAGTGTTCTTTTTTGATTATTATTATTTTTATTTTGTGTGTATGAGTGTATTGCCTGCATGTATGTGAGTGCACCCATGTCGTGCAATGCCGTGGAAGTCAGAAGAGAGCTTCAGATTCCCCTGGAACTGGAGTTAAGGATGGTTCATAGCCCCCATGTGGGTGCTAGGAATCGAACCCAGGTCCTCTACAAGAGCAGTCAGTGCTCTTAACCCCTGAGCCATCTCTTCAGCCCCCAGCCACTGTTCTTAAACACTGAGCCATCTCTCGAGCCCCACTTTTTTTTTAACGTGAGGTTTTTCTGTATGTTGTCCAATGGATTCCTATGATCCTTCTGCCGTAACCTCCTAAGTAGCTGGGGTTACAGGTGCATATCCCCATCATGCCTGGTTCAGTAATGATGAAAGTGTTTCATATGTGCATTGTCTAATATAGTAACCCTTGCCCCTCTTCAGTCAGTCTTAATTTTTACTTATTTTTATTTATTTGTTTATGTAGAGACAAGGTCTCACTATGTAACCCTGGCTAACCTAGAACCTGCTATTGTAGACCAGGCTGGCCTCAATCTCACAGTGATCTACCTGCCTCTGCCTCCCAAGGTGTGCACCACCATGCCTGGCCTCCATCTCATTTTTTAAAAAATGTAAGTAAGCTTTTTTCTTTATCAAGGAAGTCTTACCTTTGTGCCTGAAAGCCAATAGAAACTGGAATTCACCATTTGCTAAATTTATAATGGAGGAGGAAAGATTGGAATTAGTCAGACTAATGGAGATCCAAGATGAAGACATGGTGCTGCTGACTGCTGGAGAGCACAAGAAAGCAGTAAGTAAAATTACCTCAGCACACACTGTATATGCTAAACGCTGCCTCTCTTTCCCATGCTAATGTACTTATTTAAAATTGACTGTTAATTTCATAAAGCAGGGCTGGTCTACATAAGTTGTTACATAAATGTCTTTCAGTACTTTATAATGCATTATATAAAAACCAGAGTCCCTGCCAGGCACAGTGGTGCATGCCTTTAGTCCCAGCACTTGGGAGGCAGAGGCAGGCAGATCTCTATGAGTTCAAGGCCAGCCTGGTCTACATAGTGAGTTCCAGGACAGCTGGGGCTACAGGGAGACCCTGTCTTTAAAAGATCTCTCCCTCTCTCTATACACACACACACACACACACACACACACACACACACACACACACACACACACACACACAAATCACTATTCTTCAGGATAGATAGAAGACTGGATGTAGCTTTAAGAATCTTCATAAAATATATAAAAATGTTAAAAATGGTGGCTCTACAATATAGTAATCCCAGCATTCAGGAGGCTGTGGCAGGAGGATCTTGAGTTCAAGGTCAGGCTGAGCTACATAGCTAAGACCTTGTCTCAATGAAGGGCTAGTGGGGAGGAAAGTGGAGGAGGGAGGAAGAAAACTGAGGTGTAGAAGTTAACAGTTTTCTTATAGTAAGACAGCCAGTAAGTAGAAAAGTCAGATTTCTTGTCCATTAGTTGGTTCCAAAATTCACATTTGTGGGTGTATGGTGTATGTGTGTGTATATACACATGTGTATGTGTGTGCTTGTCTCTACTTTATTTTTGAGACAGAGTCTCTCCCTAAACTTGGAGTTCACTGATTAGCTGCACTAGCTGGTCAATGAGCTCCAGGGATCTGCTTGTCTCTCTCCTCCCCCAGCACTGAGGTTACAGACACACCAGACTTTTACAAGGGTGCTAGGGATCCAAACTCAGATCTTCAGGTTTTCATGACAAGAACTTTACTGACTGAGCCTCCTCCCTACCCCCACCTAAAATTCACAGTCTTAACATCTGATTCATACCACCTCTAATAATAGCGAACATTTACTAAACATAAGTAAGTGCCAAGAAGTCATTGAATCCTCCCCATACCCTTCAAGAAGAGTGAAAAAATAATCAGAATAAGCCAGGCATGGTGGTACGTGCCTTAAATCCCATCAATCGGGAGGCAGAGGCAGGCAGATCTCTGTGAGTTGGAGGCCACTCTGGCCTCCATAGAGAATCCAGGCCAGCTGTGACTACAGGGAAACCCTGTCTCAAAAAAGACTAATTAATTAATTAATCAGAAAAAAAATGAAACAGCCATTCCTATACTTCATTGAGTTCTGTACTTTATGTACTTTGTCTCACTCAGTCTTTACAAATTTTCTATTGAGTACAGCAGTATGTACCTGTGGTCTGAGCTTCTCAGGAGGTTGAGGCAGGATTGTTTCAGTTGAGCAGTTTAAAGCCAGCCTGGGCAGCAAAGCAATACCCCATCTCAATAAATGAAATCAATCACCATAATGTGATAGTAGGTATTTTTATTCACATAGTTACCTGGAAAGGGATGCAGAGAAATTAGTAAATAGCCAAACAGGTTCAGACCCTGGTCTTTGAGGTTCTGGTGCCCATGTTCTCATCACTTTGGTATTAGATGTTCACCCAGTCAGCTCAGGCTCATCTAGCAGTCAGATCATCCTCAGAAACAAAGTATCTCATCTACTAACTGGCCAGTATTTTACCAGAGACTGACCCTCAGAACCTGGGTTGTGTCACCTCATACCTACTCTGGCAAGAAACTAACTCAATGATTGTGTCTTGTTTCCAGTGCTCTTTGTTGGGAAAGTTACGGCTGGAATGTGCAGACCTTTTGGAAATGAGAGGAATGATACTTCGTGACCCAGCACTGTTCTCTTTCCTTTGGGTGGTGGACTTCCCACTCTTCCTTCCTAAGGAAGAGAGTCCCACAGAGCTGGAGTCTGCACACCACCCATTTACAGCTCCTCACCCCAGCGACATTCACCTCCTCTACACTGAGCCTGAAAAGGTACCACATCCATCCTTCCAAATAAAAATGAAGTATGTGAATAAATACATAGAACTTCAGAGTTCACTCTGGAGAGAGATAGGACCACATCTGGAAATCCCAGGAAAAACTGTGAGCCAGCAGTTAATTATATTGTTTTAAGAAACTACAGGCTCTTCAGCCTATATGCCTGAAAGCCAGACATTTCTTTAACATGAAGGTTCCATGAATCTTGTAGGTTCGTGGCCAACACTATGACTTGGTTTTAAATGGCAGTGAGATAGGAGGTGGCTCTATCCGAATTCATGATGCAGAGCTACAGCGTTACATCCTGGCAACATTACTAAAGGTAAGAAATACTTTCTAATCTTGCCTTACTGTTTTACCCATGTGTTTGCCAGTCTTAAGATACATTTGTGCCAGGCGTGGTAGTGCACACCTTTAATCCCAGCACTTGGGAGGCAGAGGCAGGCGGATCTCTGTCAGTTCAAGGCCAGCCTGGTCTACATAGTGAGACCCTGTCTCAAAAAGACCAAAAAAAAAAAAAACAAAACAATGTTAGTTTTTTTCCACTTTAGTGTAAGACTTAAAGTAAATGATAGTAAAGCCGGGCGTGGTGGCACATGCCTTTAATCCCAGCACTGGGGAGGCAGAGGCAGGCGGCTCTCTGTGAGTTCAAGGCCAGCTTGGTCTACATAGTGAGACCCTGTCTCAAAAAGACCAAAAAAAAAAAAAAAAAAAAAAAAAAAAAAAAAAAGTAAATGATAGTGATAGTTGTGTCTTAGTGCTGTATACCAGGGACTGCTTAAATGCCGTCAGATGTGGTGGCTCATGTGTAATCTCAGCACATGGGAGACTGAGGTATGAGGATTGCTACAGCCAGATGTGGTGGCTCATGTATAATCTCAGCACATGGGAGACTGAGGTATGAGGATTGCTACAAGTTCCAGACCAGCCTGGGCTATGGTAAGACCCCCTCTCCCCGCCCAATAAAAGTTGTATATGCACTGATGTATTTCATCTTCACAGTTATCTATGAATAGATACTCTCATTCTCTCATTTTAAAGATGAGAAACTCAGGCAGGTTAACTTATGCAAAGTCACACAGCAGAGCCAGGTGTCATGACACAAGCCTGTAATCTCAGCTTTCACGAGGCTAAGGTAGGATTGCAAACTTGAGTCCATGTTGGGCTACCAAGACCCTGTCTCAGGTAACTAGAGCCAGGAATTAAAGGTTAGCTCTTGAGACCAAGCTCCTAATCTCCACAGTTTTAAAATGTCATTTCAAGAGACTGACAATGTTCAAGAAAGAAATAGACCTTTTTTGGTTTTATTTGGGGGTGGGGGGAAGTTGTTAAGAGCTCCCTATGTAGCTCACAATCCTCCTGCCTTCTCCTGAGTGCTGGAATTATAGGTGAGTGCCTTGTCTTATGCCACTAAGATTTAACCCCCTTAAATGTATGTGTTTAAGACATCTCCCAGGCGGGGCGTGGTGGCACATGCCTTTAGTCTCAGCCCTTGTGAGGTAGAGGCAGGTGGATCTCTGTGAGTTAAAGGCCTGGTCTACATAGTAAGTTTCAGGCCAGCTGGGGCTACAAGGACAGGGTCCTGTCTCAAAAAGACCCCCCCAAAAAAGACATCTCCCAATGAGTGTTTATTCCTAGTTGTCATGTTTTTTTTAATGAATAGATGCTCTGTGCTTTACTATCATTTATTATAAACTGTACTTTATTTTCCCTTTAATACTTAGTATGTGGCGGAGGAACTTCACTAACAATATATTTAAGTAGAATGTGTTTTCTATTTCAGGAAGATGTGAAATTGCTTTCCCATCTGCTTCAGGCATTAGATTATGGGGCACCCCCTCATGGAGGAATTGCCTTGGGTAAATGATTTGTTCTTTTGTATACTAAATTCCATTCTGTAGCACTTGGACTCTCAGTTTAAGGGGCAGGATTGGGAGGATTTGAGTCCAAGAGCTCTATGAGAAATCGTTTCCTTTTTCATTTCAGCAAGTTATTTGACAAGTGAGATTGAACCCAGAGCCTTTGCTTCTAAGCACACAGTGTTTATATTTCACCACCAGGTGTGGTGGTACATATCTATAATCCCAGCAGCTGGGAGGCTGAAACAGTAAGATGCCAGCCTGGGTTATTTGAGGCAGTCTCAAAAAAAAAATCAAATCAATAAGAATTCTCTATAGGGGACTGCTTGGTGGGGGGACTAGATATATAGGGGAGAATGAAAGGATAAGGGAGGAAGAAATAGTACATGCGTTCCCATATGTGGAATCTAAATTTAAATATCTGACATGAAAGCGGAACTAAATTGAAAAAAACAACTTGGGAAAGAAGGGGACCAGGGATAAGGGTAATGAGGGGTACAATTGAGCACAGTACAATGACAGACATAGGAAGATGTCATAACAAAATTTGTTTTGTTATACACTACAAAGGAAGGAATGGAGTATGGTGTTACACACCTGTAATCCTAGCATTTAGGAGGTGGAAGCAGAAGGATTAAGAGTTGGAAGCCAGCCTCGCTTACATACTGAGTTCAAGGCCAGGCTGGGCTCAGTAGTAGAGCACTTGCCTAGGATGTATGAAGCCAGTGCAAAAAAAGTTCTCCGACATCTTTAAAGAAAAGACGTTATCTTCAAATTGCTATATATTTCTCATCTGTTGACCTTATATTTTACTTACAGGGTTAGATAGACTAATATGCCTTGTCACTGGAGCTCCAACCATCAGAGATGTCATAGCCTTCCCCAAATCCTACCGAGGACATGATCTCATGAGCAATGCCCCAGATTCTGTCCTGCCTGAGGAGCTGAAGCCCTATCATATCCAGGTCTCCTGGCCAACAGACTCAGAAGAGGAAGAGGCCTTGAATCAGCCACACCTTCCAAAAAGTTGAGCTTTTGTCTTGTTTTGCCAAACCCAAATCCACATCTGCCACAGATCTTAGAATCAAGTCTTTGGTTGAAGTAATCCAGGGTACACTCATCACCACAGTATGAAAGAGGAGATATACAATTGTGATTTTTGCTAACATGTATCATTAGGACTTTCTGTGGTTGTGGAAGTTTCTTTTTGAGAATTAACAAAACAGCAAAAAAACCTTCACTGGAGTAATTCAGTGTCTTAGTGTTTTCCAATCATGTTTTTTAAGCCCAGCTAGGTTATTCACTTAGGATAGAGGAAATCAAGTCATACAGAAAAATGCTTGCTTCTGTAAACTGGCCAGTTAATGGAATGCTTCCATTCATCTAACCTCATCAAAAGAACCACATAAATTGGGCTTTATGGTGACATTTCAGCTGTCAACATAATATACTAAGCGTAAAAGAATACAAAAAAAAATTTTTTTGTTTAAATGAAAGTCACAAAATTCTATTCAGCATTTCACCTTAAGCAAAGTACTCTTGGCTTCCCTTCCTGTGTATGTAAAATGCAAACAGTACTTGCCCTGGCTGTCTCACAGGACTCTTGTTGCCAGAATCAGGAGATAAAATGTGTGGAAGAAATGTGAATGGAAATGCTTTGAGACCCTGTAAAGCAGGGCTGGAAATTCAGCTCAGTGGTGTAACACCTACAGTGTGCAATGCCCACTGAATTCAATACATAGCATCACACACACAAAAGGTCATGGCATAGTAGCAGTGCTCAGGAATTTGGGGCAGAATTAAAGGATGCAGATGTGTACCCAGTTGGTAGTGAATCCCTCCCCTTATCCTTTTTTTTTCCGTCTTTTTGAGACACAGCGTTTCTCTGTAGCTCCAGCTGACCTGGAACTCGCTGTGTAGACTAGACTAGCCTTGAACTCACAGAGATCTACCTGCCTTTTTTACCACCATACCCAGCTTTTAATTTTTTTTTAATATGTATTGCCTTCATGTATGTAAGAGCACCCATGTTGTGCAATGCCTGCAGAGGACAGAAGAGGGCATCAGATCCCCTGGAACTAGAGTTACAGACTAGCTGCCATGTGGGTGCTGGAATTCAAACCCAGGTCTTATGCCGGAACAGCCAGTGTTGTTTACCACTGAGCCTCCAGCCCTCTCACCCCATCTTTTTTTTTTAGGTTTTTGAGATAGGGTCTCCTTGCATCCCCAGCTGGCCTGGAACTCTATGTAGATCATGCTGGCCTTGATCTCAAAGAGATCCTCTACCTCCCAAGTACTGGGATTAAAAGCATGCATCACACCACCTTGTTCCTTTTATCTTCTGTACAGCTAAGAAAGTGGGATGCAGCACTTCCCTATGGAATGGAGGCAATTAAGAGACTATGAATCAAGTCTCAAAAAATAACAGACCATGGACCAGCAGATAGCTTAGTGGGTAAAGGCACTTGCCACCAAGCCAGATAATCTTGAATTTGATATCCAGAATTCACATAGTAGAATTGACAATTCAAGTTGTTCTCTGACACACAAATTTAACAAAACTTTATTATTTTTTTGTGTATGCATGAATTGCCTGCATGTAGGTAAGTACACCCATGTCGTGCTATGCCCGCGGAGGTCAGAAGAGGCTGTTGGATCCCCTGGGACTGGAGTTATGGACAGTTGTTAGCTGCCATGTGGGTGCTGGGATTTGAACCAGGTCTTCTGCAAGAACCAGTGTTCTTTAACCGCTGAGCCATCTCTCCCAGCCCCCAGACACACAAATGTTTTCTTAAAAATTTTAATTGTGGACTTAGGGATGGGGAGATAGCTCAGTTAGTAAAGTATCTGGCACATACTCATGAGGACCAGAGTTCAGAAGCACATTATCTATGGGAAAGCCACGTATGATGGGACACATTGGTAGTCCTAATGCTGGGGGACAGAGACATCCTCAAAGCTCCCTGGCTAACCAATCTGTGAGCTCTGGACTCAGTCTCAGTAAGGTGTTCAAGGAACACACCTAACATCAACCCATGGCATACACACATACCAAAATTACCTATCAAGTTGGTGATTTTCTTCAAAGTTTATGCTACAAATAAAAGCTAAAATTACAAAATGGGTGTAAAGCCTTAATTTAAAAGTACGTTTCTACATACCTTTTATTCTATAAAATGCAATTCCATGTCCATCAGGAATGTTAAACCTGATTGCAAAATACATCTAATACAGTTACGAACTAGTTTTAACCAAAGTGTCTTTCCTGAAAATTAGTGATATAGAACCCAAGATCCAGATAATTTCTGAGATAAGATCTCATTATGAAACTCAGGCTAGCCAGGCGTGGTGGCACACACCTTTAATCCCAGCACTCAGGAGGCAGAATCAGGTAGATCTCTGAGTTCGAGGCCAGCCTGGTCTACAGGGAGACCCTGTCTCAAACAAAACAAAACTTCAGGCTAGCCTCAACCACCCAAGCACTAAAATTAGGCTACAATGCTAAAGGCCCTACCTTATTGCCCATTAAGTCAATCTGGACATTCCAGAGACTTGGTCACTTTGTATTATTTACCTTGTCTTCATACCTGTCAAAATATTGCCTATTCTGGAGTTTCAGGGAATTGCTAGTATTAAGAGCCCTATTAGGATACTAAGCATTTTCTCTTGGCAGGAGACAGCTCAATGGTAGAGTGCTTACATATGCTATGCAAGGCCCTGGGCTCAATGAGCAGGCATTAAAATAAAACCACCTGCTGTAGAATTTTCAAGAAAGCTTTGTTCTATGAATAATTTGTCCTTGTTGGAAAGATGTGAATTCATGTGAATTCATTGGCAGTCTGTACTACTAGGCTGATTGAATGAAGCAATGTTATCTGTACAGATACTCTTTCCCAGAATACTCCTTGCTGATGTAAGGAATTGTTTTGGTGCAGGCCAGGTGGATGATCTTCCACCTCTGGAGTGCAAGGGATAGGTCTATTTTCATTGTGGTGCTGGGGACTGAACCCAGAACTTCATACATGCTAATAAAGTACCATCAGTACACCTCAAGGTAAACCTTTTGCTCAATCAAGTACACAGATGAGTGTTAACAATTTATATGCAGGCCATGCCAGTGTTCATTTTTCAAACTTCTGTATTTTAGATGTACATAATGGCACATGCCTTTAATCCCAGCAGTTAGCCAAATCATAAATTCATGGCCAGCCTCAACTATACCCAATGTGCTGTCAGCAAGAATGCCTCCCACCAAAAAAAAAAAAAAAAAAACCTCGGTTGTATGTACCTATAATCACAGTACTTGCAGACCAAGACAGAAATATCTTAAATTGAAGTTTTCCCGAGCTCCAAAGCTAAGATCCTACCTCTGCAGTATTGCAGCTGACACAGCACTGCCATCAAACTAGTAATCTATACACCATTGTTTTAGTATACCTGTAGCAATGGGCATTTCATAACTGTTACATCTGGTAACCCAAAAACTATTTCCAGTAATGTCTTTCCATCCATTTACCAATATTATGGTCAATTTTCACAGCCTGGGAACAGGTAAATTAATTTTTCTACTTTAGAATATTTTGGATTTAGTCACGTCTATTACCAAGGAAAGTTAAGTGAAAGAATATGGGATGCTCACCTAAGGATAACAGCATTAGTGTTTAGTATTTATTTTCCAGACTTTCCCAACACTACCACTGAGCAAAATAGCCCTCAACTTGAGTCTGTTACCCAAGGCCTTGAATTTAGTATTCCTGCCATGTCTTCTGAATGGTTACAGACTTGTACCACCAGATCAGTTTCTACCAAGTCTTTTAGTCAAAAGCTTGGTTCCAAAAATACATGCTCTTGGTCTTCTTGGCCTGCCCATACAAGCTATTAACTTGGCTGCAAACCAAGACAGGGTCCTCATTACAGGACACTGCTGCTGAACTCAACTCTATTTCAATTTCAGACAAGTGTTAGCACTTCAGTCCTAGTTAACCGTATACATATTCCCACTTAATATCCAAGGACTATTAATTTACCCTCACCATTTAGTGGTTTCGTCTCCTGACACCTCATTTGAAAAAAAAAAATGCTCACTAGTTTTGAGCCTCAACATCAGGAAATAAAACTTTCAGATGGTTTGAAGAAATTTATTTTAATTTTTATGATAGTCAAACAATCTTGTGTAGACATGTAGACTCTTCTATCCCAAAGTTTCCATCCAGCTGCCTGCAACAAAAAAAACTATTAGTCACATGTCTAGATCTTATCTTAAATTTTATGCATTTAATACAGAATATCAGATCTTTTACTGTCATCAAGTAATCAGTGAGAGAGTTCAAAGTAGGGTGAGATCATCATATATTCTTGAGTTGGCTCAGTGCCCATGGTGACATTTTTCACTCCTCACCTTTTAAAAAGCACATGGAGCATGTCCCCTGCTGCCATGGGAGTCCCTAAAAAGCCAAAATACATTGTTAATCACTAGATCACCAAAAATCATGCTACATGTTACAACGTAGTAACCTCAGAAACAAAATGGAACGGTTTTAAAGGTGATATCAGTTTATATCATTTGGCAGAATCATCACATCACTGGTTACAGTCCATATTGTATAAAATGTAGCAAAAGGGTGCCTTACCTTGAACTTTAAAGAAAAATAATCTACCTAAACAAAAAGAAAAGTTTCATTAAGTAAGGAAACCCCTTGCTATTTACCTTATAACTTATTAGGTGGTAAGGTTCTGAATAGTTATCACTGTAGCCTTGAACTCAAAAGCAATCATCTTGCCAGACTTCCATGTTGGGATTATAGGTATGAACCATACCTCAGAAACTTTGCATTTTTTCATATTCACTATAATAAAAATTGCCAGGTTTGGTAAACCAGTGGTAGAACACATGAGACACTAGGTTAAAAAAAAAATCACTAACACCACTTTCTACCTTGTAACTCTACAATCATGGTAGACAAAAGACTACTGCAGCCAGATACATCAGATAGGAGCGAAAGACTTTGATTGTTCATCAGTGTAAGTCTGCTGAACTATGTTATCATCACTGTATCGGCCTTTGGACCTGAGGGCAGGGGTGTACTAGTTGAGGTTAAGAGTGCTTACAAGCATAAGGCCCCGGGTTAGACTATTCCAAGCAGCAAAATCTGACTTGTAATTAGCATACCTTTTGTATAAAACTTGCAGGTGTATGTCCATTCAATCAAGCTGACTTGGTACCTGCAGAAATTCAGTTCAGTTGATCAATGGGTAATTTAAAGGTATATTCCTAAAAGTTCCCAACCACTGTTTCAGTCTAAGAATTAATCTTCAATCTCCTTCAGAGAGATTCCCATCTGTTTTAACTCTTATGTCATCACTAACAGCACGTTGTCCAAGTATTTAAGATCATAAAAAATGCTTACATTCCATTTAACAGGGCTCCACAATCTGGACCTGCAAAAATTTAAAACAATGTATTTATCTGAGCACTAGACAGCACAGACTATTTTAATACAGCAAATATTCTAAGTGGCTCTATCTCCTGGTTAATTCATGCAAAATCCTTAATTTAGAAGGACCCCACTTCATAATTAAAATGCCAAGAGTCCAAGAACTGCATTCTTACCCAAGTAAACCATCCAAGTGAAAGCATGCAACAAAGTAGCTAGAATTAAAAGAACAACTTATTAATAGATCAAACTTCATCCAGTTATCCTCAGTCGTTTATCACAGGGTTCTTCAGTGTTAAGTTTGTCTACATGCTCTTTTCAGGTCAGACATTTGATCAACATCATTATAAAAACCCTGTTCAGAGCACGCCCAAAGAAAATACAAAGCATTATTTATTAGCTAAAACATAAATATGAAATTCTAAGTTGGGGCATGTCCCTTTATTGGCCTTTCAGTGTTCAACCACATTTTCCCAACACTTACTAAAAAAGCTGGTCCAGTCAATTCAGACGCCACCTATAATTAAAGAGTACTTTTAGAATAGTCACAAAATAGACAAAATTCTTCCCACTAAAGCTAAACATGCCCATCATCAGATAGAGCTAATTAAGATCTTCATGTTCAGTCAGCATTTGCTTATCATCATGCAGGCTGCACTTACAAATGGTTTTAGGACATTTACATGACATTTAATGGATGGCAAGAGTGCTCATTATACAAAAAGAATGCATCCCTACCAAGCCATGCTTGCCCAGTTAACTCCATTTCCTCTGGTCACTTACCATTTCAACTTCTGGCTTCCTAGTGCAGCACCTACAAGATTGCAAATACAAATTTATTAAAAATTAGGTCAGTACCAGGATAATTTAAAAGTAACAGAAAAAAACCCAGATACATCAGACAAATGGTAATTCTCTCCATGATTTAGTCTGCTGAACTATGCAACCATCATTGTATCTGAATTTTCCCATATCCCAGGTAAAACCCTTGGCACTAGAAATTCTACAAAACTAAATAGAACTATTGTGACCAAAGATCCAGCGCCAATTTGTCTAGGGCTATGTTCAGTCCCTTTAATATGCTGGACTATGTCTGACCTCAACTTTGCTATCAAGTAAAGTCCCCTTCAACAGTTCCCTAGCTCCCTTAAAAAAAGCCAAGAATGCCACCGGACAGCATCTGAGATAATAGCACATTCCCTGCTTCTATCTGGCCCATTTGCAGTGTATTTTAAAATGCCCCTTATATGATTATTTGTTCTGTATCTACATATATTTTATAGCCATCAAAACTCAATATTTGGCCCATGAATATTCCCTAACAGTTTAAGCACTTTCAAATCCCTTCAAAATTTATAAGCAGCACATGCAAACAGATTCCTTACCAGCAATGGCTACACTGGTTTGTTCCACTGGTCCTGGGGAAAAAATAGAGCTGTATGTGAACTCAGGTGTAATATCTAAATTCCCCACGTCCTTTATCTGTGCGCCTCAGTTACAATATCGGTGGTTTGTAATTATCGTCATTCTTACGGTCAAGAGTAGCAAATAAAATGTCATCATTATGGCACTGTTCACTTTCATCTTAACGTCTCAAGGGGACGGTTCAATACCCACCTCCATTCGGTTCTCATCCATCTTTGGCCCATAACTAGAAAAGGAAAAAAAAAACAAACCGCAAAACTGTGAGAAAGTCCCCTTAGCTGAGTTTGCCAATTACATCCTCACGTAAAGCCTCAGAACAGTTTTTTCAGAAATCCCTTCTGTCCACTACTCTCAAACCATCACAGGCTAAATGTACACAACAGATATACAATTTCTCCCGATTCTTACCTGGATGTAAGATGCCAGTGAAAGCCACATCCCTGCAGTCCTCAGCAACACTCCTAACAAACATTAGGCAAGCTTTTAGTCCACTTATTTGTTTAAATATCAGAGGCTTGTATCAGTTTAATATTACAAGAGGCTGCCATTAAATGTTACATACGATCGTTGCATTCAACCAACCACTTAACCACGTGTACTTTCCAGACCTTTAAAGTGTTGAGATTTCGTGATCACTAACAAAGGACTTAGAGCCAGGCGTATCGTAGGTCACGCCTGTAACACCTCGCGGCTCCAATGTTCGAGACCAACCTATCTATCGTCACTACAGCGGGCCTAAGTCGGGTTACTCAGCATGCATCCTACGCCATCAGAGTCGTTGGCATTCATCAGCCATGTCAGATGTCCCTACCAACACAGGCTTCATCACTAGCGAGGATACAAGCTCCAAGTCATTTCCGTCGGTTTTCCAAAGTGGAGCACTATTTTCGGTCACGCGTCCACGCAGCGCCCACATCCGCGTCATGCCCGGCTTGCAGGCTTTGCAAAAACCCAGGAATGATCGAGGAATTCCCGCCAATTTACGGTACCAGAAACTGCCAAAGGTTCGAAGGCCTCAAGCAAACACCACCCTCCCACGAATACTACGTACCAGCTCTAACGTGCCTCACCGCCCCGAAAGACAGATATGGCGCCGGGAGTCTGCATATAAGAGTTTCCTGACGTCATGACGCACGGGCCTCCGCGGCGATCATCAAGCTCCGCCCCATCCCCTAGGCTCCGCCTCTAGCCCCACCTCTTTCCTCGCCCTCAGGTTCGCGCTCTGGCCACGCCCGATTTCGCTCTGAGGGCGGGGCCGCCACGGGCGGCCTAATGATGGTCTCCCGCCTTCCTCTCCTACTGAGGAGGAAGGGCTGAGGGGAGGGGGCTCGCGGACGGAAAGCGCTAGGGGAGGGGGCAGTGTGAGGGTGACTGATTTCCTTCCGGCACGTCGCCCGCGCCAGGGGTGGGGGCGGGGGGTTTCACTTCCGGGACGGTGTTCCGGCCCATTCCGGCCCATTTCCACCCCCGGAGGTAGGTGCTGCTCCTGGGCTGCGCTCGGGCCCCGCACCCCATTCCCGTCATCCGGCCCGCGGCGACCCCGTGGTTGCGTCCGGGCGGCAGCCCGCCCCACTCGCGCCCAGCGCTCCCCGCTACCTCCCTCCCGAGCACGGGGCAACCTTCCACCTTGCGGCGGGAGCCGAGCTCATGGGCCCGCCCCCCTCGCGGCCCCTCCCTCAGGACCCCGGGCTGGGCGCCCCTCCCCCGCGGCGGGACACACCCAGACACACCCCTCCGCGGCCCGGGCCGTTCCTGCCGCCCTGGCCCGGGTCCCGGGGCGCCGCCCCCTTCGCTGTTCGGTTCCCTCACCTGCGCGCTCGCCCTTCGGCCCACGCTCCGCTCGGCTCTCCGCCGGAGTTCTGTGATAGCTCGCCCCTTCGCCAGGTCCGCTCCTAGGTCACGGAAGCTCCGTCCCGGAGTGGCCCACCCCATGCCCTTCCCGATTCTCCCTCCTACAGCTCTCACCCCTCCAGCGCCGGCGGTGGAGACATTACTCCAAGGGCTCCCTCCTCACTGGGGATTGCCGGAAAGAGCCAACAAAAGGCGCTGGTGTAGGCTCCAAAATAAACATCTGAATTCATGATGGCATCGACAGAGGCTCTTAATGGATTAAAAGTTTCAAAACAAACAATAACGCTTTGGAAAAAGGTCAGATTGGTTAAAGTTGGTTCTTGAAAGCAGTGTATGCACTTCCCTCTTTACTCATTTACTGGTGTTGAATTCGGGGTGATAAAGAGTAGTTGGGACAACTTCCTGGTGCCACTGTGTATAAATGGATGCACGTTGGGTCTAAATCGTTAAGACACTGGGATTTCTACAAACTACTCTCAATTATTTGAGATTGTTGGATGCAGTTGCAATCTTTTGATGTTAAAATTTGGGCTTTATTTTTATCAACTCTGGAACTAACTTCAGAATCAAAGTAGCATCATTATGGAATTCCCCACTTGGAATTTGTTGGGTAGAGACAGGATTACTTAGTTTGAGCTAACTTTGGGAACTAGGCTCCAAGTTCTCTCTGTATGTTGAATGAATGCTGATGCAGTTGAGGAATTTTTCCTAACCTAGAGTTTACCTCAGAGACCCATATGCAAAAGCTGTTAGGGGGAGCTCCAACTGGTAAGCTCAAAAATACTGGTTTTAAGTTCATGTGGGATATTAGGCACTTTATAAAGTCATAAAAAACTCGTCCAGCATGTAGTAAAATATTGACAAACATCTAATCAGCTGGTATTCCAAAAGTTTATTTCTTCCAGAGAAAAGTCATGAAATTTTATATTCAGTCTGAAAATACTTTGCGATTAATGTTCCTTAACTTCTGTCTTAATGTTATATACCTTATTGTATACCTTATTAATAAAGAAAATAAGGCGGGTGTGATGGCACATGCCTGTAGTCCCACCATTTGGGAAGCATAAGCAGGCGGATCTCTGTGAGTTCAAGGCCAGCCTGGCCTACCAGGCCAGCTGAGGCTACAGGGAGACCCTGTTTCAAAAAGACCAAAAAAAAATAATAATAAATTTTTTTTTATTGAATAATATTTTTAGGGAGATTTGAACTAGAAAGTACAAAAGGAGTAAAACTATTATTGAGAATATGGTTTACTCTTCCAGCAGGGTTGAATGCCTGCCTGGATCTTCAGGCATGACCATGGAGAAAGGTGGGAACATACAATTGGAGATCCCTGACTTCAGCAACTCTGTTCTGAGCCACTTAAACCAGCTGCGCATGCAGGGCCGTCTCTGTGATATTGTGGTCAACGTGCAAGGACAAGCTTTTCGAGCTCACAAAGTAGTACTGGCTGCCAGCTCCCCTTATTTCCGGGATCACATGTCCTTGAATGAAATGAGTACTGTCTCCATTTCTGTCATCAAGAACCCTAGTGTTTTTGAACAGCTCCTTTCTTTCTGTTACACAGGGCGGATATGCCTGCAACTGGCAGATATCATCAGCTACCTTACAGCTGCTAGTTTTCTGCAGATGCAGCATATTATAGACAAATGTACACAGATCTTAGAGGGCATTCATTTCAAAATTAATGTGACTGAAGTTGAAGCAGAATTAAGTCAAACAAGAACAAAGCATCAGGAGAGACCTCCAGAGTCTCACAGGGTTACACCAACTCTAAACCGTTCACTTAGCCCACGACATAATACCCCAAAGGGAAACCGGCGAGGGCAGGTTAGTGCTGTGCTGGATATCAGAGAGCTAAGTCCCCCTGAGGAGTCCACCAGCCCTCAGATAATCGAACAGAGTTCTGATGTAGAGAGCCGGGAGCCCATTCTTCGGATCAACAGAGCAGGACAGTGGTATGTTGAAACAGGAGTAGCAGATCGGGGGGGCCGGAGTGATGATGAAGTTAGGGTTCTTGGAGCAGTGCACATCAAAACTGAAAATCTGGAAGAGTGGCTTGGGCCTGAGAATCAGCCTTCTGGAGAGGATGGGAGTAGTGCAGAGGAAGTCACAGCCATGGTGATTGACACCACAGGCCATGGTTCTATAGGACAGGAAAGTTACACTTTAGGGTCTTCAGGAGCCAAGGTCGCTCGGCCAACCAGCAGTGAAGTTGACAGGTAAGTTTTGTTTTCCCATCTAACAGCTGTTGTATGGGCACCATTACATGGGCCTTGTGTGTATTACAGAGTATGTCTTCCTTTCCTGATGTTTTTGGCCAAAGTAAGTTGACGTTTGGGAAATGGGAAGTATGCCAAAAGACGTGCATTCTTATATTTTCAAAGCAGAAAGCTCCTAGTCCTGCAGTATTCACAATGCTGTGAGGACTGTGCTAAAATTAGGCACTTCCATGAATCAGAATAGCATGTGCAGCCACTGAGGACCAGTAATTGCCAGAGCTTGCTTTGATCCAGGCAGGGAGTTGATCATCAGCAGAAGCCTGGCAGCACTGCCCATGCTTGGTGTGTCATCACAGGTAGGTGCCCTCAGGGAGTTTTACTTCCCTTATAGTACCATGTATTTCCCTTTGCTGCCTGCCAAATTAGAGCAGGTGTGGTATGGTGATTTTTTTTGGATGTTTTTCTTTCATTTTTTCAAATGTCACTTGATATTTTCTTTCATGATGCTACTACCCCAAGCCTGAGAGTCATTTTCACCAGTGCCATTCTGCCCTATAGTCAGTGTTCACTCTTTTCTTTGTAATATACTGAAATTGTTAGAACATTTCTTTTTGGTTGAAGTAGCAGTGGCTTTAAGTCAACTGAATGAAATAAATATTAATTTAGATTGATAATGTTTTCTCCCTCTCTCTCCCCCTTTTCTCTGGAAACAAGGTCTCTGTAGCCCAGGCTACTCTGGAACTCATGGCAGTTCTCCTGCCTCAGCCTCCCCGGTGCTGGCATTAAAGGCATGAGCCACCATGTTTGGGTTTTCTTGAGACAGGGTTTCACTGTGTAGTCCAAGGTAACCTACAGCTTTACTATATAGCCCAAACTAGCTTCATACTCATGGCGATCTTCCTACCTCCAGCTCCCAAGTACTAGAATTACAGATGTAAGCCACTACACCTGACTTGTTCATTTCCCTAAAAACTAGATGGAGGGAGCCAGGAGTCGTGGCACAAGCCTTTAGTCCCAGCACTTGGGAGGCACAGGCAGACGGATCTCTGTGAGTTCAAGGCCAATAGCGAGTTCCAGGCCAGCTGGGCTACAGGGAGGCCCTTTCTCAAAAAAAAAAAAAAAAAAAAGATTGAGGGGCTGGAGAGATGGCTCAGTGGTTAAGAATACTGACTGCTCTTCCAGAGGAGCTGGGTTTGGTTCCCAGAACCCACATGGTGGTGTATAATTCCAGGGGATCTGATGACCTCTTCTGACCTTCCTAGGCTTTGCATGACACTGGTGCACTTAAATACATGCAGACAACACACTCATACACATCAAACAGTAAAAGATAAAATATATTAAAAATAGATTTAAATTGGGGCCAGAGAAATGACTCAATATGTAAAGGCACCTGTGCCAAGCCTAACCACCTGGGTTCAAGCCTCAGGACCTGCATGGTAGGAGAGAAGAGACTGCAGTAAATTGTCCTCTACAAGTGTGCCGGGGCACATGAGTATTCCCACCGCCCCCATCCTCTCACCCCCTCGCCTAAAAAAAAGATTGATACTGATCTTTGGAGCAACTAAAAGTAAAGAAGTCATTTCTTTCCTTAATGGCTGATATTCCAGAAATTCACTAGTATATATCAGCCACTTAGGTGATCTTGATTTGAATGGTTCCCAATACTCATGTGACCTTAACAGTCAAAATATTCTTGAGCCCAGAATGTATTCACCCCCAATGTTGGCATGTTGTCTTCTTGTGTTAGAACTATACCATAAGAAGTACCTGCTTAAATGGGAAAACCTTTCATCTCCAGGACCTATATCGAATATGTAATAGATTACTATAGGAGTAGGAACCACCAAAACCCCAGTAGTTGTAGGAAAGAACCAAAACCACTGGGCATGTTGGTGCATGCCTATAATCCCAACACTTGGGAGACTGAAGCAGAAAGACTGCTATGAGTTCAGGGACAGCCTTGGAGCCTTGCCTGTGTAGTGAGTACCAGGCCTAGCAGGGCTTCATAGCAAGACCCTGTCTCAAAAAAAACAAAACTACAGACCAGGTTTCATTTACTCTTTTACCCCTTTCCAGTACTTGTTAAGAGTAGAAAGTTCTTATTTAGCCTTAGCTTTACTTTCTCATGTGGTCTATTTGCTATGTCATTTTGAAAGTATTTCTGTTTTATTCAGTCACCCTTCCTCAGCTATAGGATAGAGAGAAACATTAAGTTCTCTGACACTACTTGTCTTTTGGTCCCCTTTATGCTCCTCTTCCAACAGATTTAGTCCCTCTGGCAGTATTGTTCCCATGACAGAAAGACACAGAGCCAGAAGTGAGTCTCCTGGGAGAATGGATGAACCTAAGCAACCTAGCTCCCAGGTATGTAGAGTTACTGTATTGGTTGAAGGACTTTTCACTGGATAAACAAATGTAATAAGAAGGAAAGATGTAGGAAAAATGAGTGGTCTTATTAAATACTGTATTTGATATACATTTTTTCTAAATCTTGCTTGTGAGCATGCTAGAATTAAAATTAGAGAAGAGGAAGGGAAAAAAAAAAATTGTGAAACTTTTTCCTGATTTCCTGATTATAGAAAGCAGTCATACACCTGAGAATAAAATTACCTTCAGATAATTTAGAACCTGGATTAGAAATAGTCTGATATGGGGTAGGTGGAGGATAACACTGTATAAGTATATGAGTTTGTAAGTTTATACAATATTTTATTTATTCAGTTTGGAAGAGGGGAACAGAATCTCACACTGTACCCCACAGTGACCTGAAGTAGTCCATATTGGCATTGATTTTAAGGCAGTCCATCTGCTCTAGTCTCCTGAATGTTGGGATTATAGGCTTGAAACACCTTATTTAGCTGCTATTATATTTGTAAACAGATTGCTTATGCATTTTGATGTATGTGCTATTGTGTACAAATGTGTCTTTTTATTTATTTGCTTTCTGAATCATACTGTAAAGTTCTAAAAGACTGGGTGTGGTAGTGCACACCTATAATCCCAGCACTTCGGAAGCAGAGGCAGGAGGCTAGCCTGGGTACTTAGCAAATTCTAGGACAACCAGACGTATTGAGTAAAACCCATCTTTAAAAAAAAGAAAAACAAGCAAGCTGTGCATGGTGGCGCTCGCCTTTAATCCCAGCACTCAGGAGGCAGATGCAGGCAGATCTTTGTGAGTTCCTGGCCAGCCTGGTCTACATAGTGAGTTCCAGGCCAGCTAGGGCTACAGGGAGACCCTGTCTCAAAAAGAAAAAAAAAAAAAAGAAGAAGAAGAAAAAACCCCACAAATTTCTTAAAGGATAGGAATATCTTCTGTATTCTGTTCAACTGTCCTTAGCTTATATAAGTAATTGGATATTTTAATTTGCCTTGACCTATGTCGTTGAGGATTGGTTTTATTTTTTCAAGCAGTAAAACACACAGAACACAATAAATTAGATAGTATAGCCTTTAACAGGGAAATACTGGTAGACTAAGCTAGTGTTTTTAACCTTTGTATTATAATCTCTTGTCTAAACATTTCTTGGGTATATTGGTATAGTTATAGCAGTAAGACATTGTCACAAACTGATTTTCATGGTTTTATTCAATTTTTTTTTTTTTTTTGAGACAGTCTTTTTAACCGAGGCTGACATCAAACTTACCATCCTCCTGCCTTTGTCTCCCTAGGGCTAAAATTACAGATATGTGCGAACACACCCAGCTATCTTTTAGTTTTGAATTAAGTGTTAGAGAAAATATTAAGACCTAAGAGGAAAACTAACTAGCACCCTCTTTCTCCCCATCTCAGATCCAGAATGATAGGTATGTTATACAAATAAATGCAGTAAATAGCGCAGATCTTTTTTTAAAATTTTGTGTTTTATCTGCATGTAATAAGTACACCATATGCATGCAGTGGCCAAAAGAGGGTGCCATATTCCTTAGAACTGGACTCTTGATGGTGCTGGGAATCAAACCGTGGTCCTCTGCAAGAATAGCAAGTACTTTTAACCTCTGAGCCATCTCTCCAGCCCCCTAGACAGATCTTAACAGTTTAATTTAATAATACAAACAAAAATAAACTTCAGTTAGAGCTTTATGAGAATAGAAGTGCTTATAGGCATTTATTAGACTCAGTAGCCACATAAGGAAAGTGCAATTAAACAGATTTGCGTGTTTGTGTATGCAGGTGCCTATGTGTATGTGTTTGTGTATGCTACAGATAATGTGTGCATGTTTGTGTGCAGGTGCATGTAGTGGTGGGGCATGTTTGCATATGGAGGGTAGAAGTCAACCTCAGATGTTACACCATTTCACCTTGATTTTTCTTTTTTTTTTTAAATTTTATGTATATGAGTGTATTGCCTGCATGTGCGTAAGTGCACCCATGTCATGCAGTGCCTGCGGAGGTCAGAAGAGTGTCAGATTCCCCTGGAACTGGAGTTACAAATGGTTGCTACCATCATGTGGGTGCTGGGAATCGAACCCAGGTTCTCTGCAAGAATAGCCAGTGCTCTTAACCTCAGCCATTTCTACATCCTCTGCCTTGATTTTTCTTGAGAAAGGGTCTCTAAGTGGCCTAGGACTCAAAGATCAGGCTAGGCTGGCTGACCAGGGGTCCCCCCTGTCTTTGCCTTCCCAGTGTTGGAATTAGAAACCTAAGAAAAAGATTACAGACCTCAAAGGTTACCATACCCAGCCTTTTTACAGGGTTCTGGGGATTGAGCTCAGGTTCTCATGCTTGCACAGCAGGCACTTTACTGACTGAGCCATCTCCCTAGCCTGGGGTTTTTGAAAAATAAGCAGATATGGGGGCTGCAGAGATGGCTCAGCGGTTACGAACACTGATTGTTCTTGCAGAAGACCCAGGTTTGAATCCCAGCACCCACATGGCAGCTAATAACTGCCCCTAACTCCAATTCCAGGGGATCTGACAGCCTCTTCTGTCCTCCGCGGGCATTGCATGACATGGGTGCACTTACCTACATGCAGGCAATACACGCATACACATAAAATAATAATTAATAAAATAGTTTTTAAAAAGCAGAATTTAGGGACCAAAGAGATGGCTTAGCCATTAAAAGTGAGGGCTATTATTCTAGAGGATCTGAATTCTGTTCCCAGTGTGTAACTGCCTATAACTCCAGCTCCAGGGGGATCCGACACCTCTGGCCTCAATAGGCACCTCCACTCATGTGCACATACAAAAACACATACACAAAAACCTTTTTTCAAAACATTTTAAATGCAGCTTCCTCCTTCCTTACCTTCCCCTCCCCTTTCCCTTAAAATATTTTTAAAAATATTTAATTTATTATTTTTATTTTATGTGTATGCATGTATTGCCTGCATGTAGGTAAGTGCACCTGTGTCGTGCAATGCCCACAGAGGACAGAAGAGGCTGTCAGATACCCTGGGACAGGAGTTACAGACAACTGTTAGCTGCCATGTGGGTGCTAGGATTCGAACCTGGGTCTTCTGCAAGAACAGTCAGTGTTCGTTATTAACCTCTGAGCCATCTCTCCAGCCCCAAAATATTCATTTTATTTTTAATTATATATATGTGTGTGGGTTTGTGCATGTGAGTGTAAATGCCCATAGAAACCAGAAGAGAGCATTGGATCCTCTGGAGCTGGAGACAGAGCTGGTTGTAAGTATCAGTGTGGGTGCTAGAAACCAAACTCTGGTCTTGTGCAAGAGCAGCAAGTGCTCTTAAACCATTGCGCCATCTCTCCAGCCCTTTCCTTCTTTATTGAGATGGGAGTTTCACATTGTTGCCTAGGCTGGCCTTGAACTCCTGGCACCTAAAGATCTACCTGCCTGAGCCTCCCAAGTAGCTGGGGCTACTGGCACACACGACTCTCTGAGGATTTAAATAGTGTTTTTGTTTTGTTTTCAGACAAGGCTCCCTGTGTAGCCCAATCTGGTCTGGCCTCAAACTCCAGGTCCTCCTGCTTCAGCCTCCCAAATTATTGGATTGCCTGCCTGGCGTAAATGCAGCTTTGTTTTTTTTTTGTTTTGGGTTTTTTTTTTTTTTGGTCTTTTGTTGAGACAGGGTCTCCCAGTAGCCCCAGCTGTCCTGGAACTCACTATGTAGACCAGGCTGGCCTTGAACTCACAGAGATCCGCCTGCCTCTGCCTCCCAAGTGCTGGGATTAAAGGCGTGCACCACCATGCTCAGCTTAAATGCAGTTGGTTTTTGTTTTGTTTTGTTTTTTGGGGTGTTTTTTTTTTTTTTTGGTCTTTTTGAGACAGGGTCTCCCTGTAGCCAGAGCTGTCCTGGAACTCACTATGTAGACCAGGCTGGCCTTGAACTCACAGAGATCCGCCTGCCTCTGCCTCCCAAGTGCTGGGACTACAGGCGTGCACCACCACGCCCCCGGCTTTTAGATCCAGTTTTTAAAGAAGTTAGGAAGAGGGTAATTGTTTGTAGATGGGCTAGGGATAAATATTGGAATATGCAAGAGTACTTATCTGGCTAAAGCAGTAGATAACAATTATAAACAAATAGGATATAAATAATACTGTCTAAGGTCAGTGGCTCAGTAGGTAAAGATACATACTAAACCTGGCAGCCTGAGTTCTACCTGAGACCCACATGATAGGAGAGAATGAACTCCTGCACATTGACCTCTGACCTCCATCCACATGTGTCCATACCCACAAATTAATTTTTAAAATGACTGTCTAGAGATGTTACTAAGGGTCTTATAATGTGTAAAAATGTTTATTGTGATAAGACTATTTACTACTTATTTATTGCTATCACAGAAAACCAAACCAAGGCAGGGATTTTTTTTTTTTTTTTTTTTTTTAAGTCTTTTTGAGACAGGGTCTCCCTGTATCCCCAGCTGGCCTGGAACTCACTATGTAGTGAGCCCCAGCTGGCCTTGAACTCACAGAGATCTGACTGCCTCTGCCTCCCGAGTGCTGGGACTAATGCCCAGCTGTTACTGCATTTTTCTATTACAGTTTATTTACTTGGGGGGTTATAAGAGGAAAACTTCTTTTTTTTCTTAATTTTATATTTTATTGTTTTGTTTTATTTTATTTTATTTTATTTTGATACAGGGTCTCCCTGTAGCCCCATCTAGCCTGGAAGTTGCTATATAGACCAGGCTGGCCTCAATCCCACAGAGATCCACCTGCCTCTCATATGTACTAGGATTAGTTATACACTGCCACTCCTAGCTTACTTTTTTATTTTTGTATATGTATGAGTGTTTTGCCCATATGTCTGTAAGTGTACCCATGTTGTGCAATGCCCATAGTAACCAGAAGAGAACATTAGATCCCCTGGAACTGGAGTTTTAAGTGGTTGTTAGCTACCATGGGGGTGCTGGGAACTGAATCCCATCCTCTGCAAGAGCACCCAGTGCTAT